GATGGACGATGGTCGAGAGTCGTCACGGAGCGGCAGTCAAGGAGTGGAACGCGTCCGAGAGGGCGGCCACAGCGGAGATGGAGCGATGGATCGCTAAATCGCCGGGTCGTGAGAGGTGGTGGCGCTTGGCAGTGGATTGAACATGGCTGCTGCTGCTGCTGATGATGAATGTAAATATATCCTCGACTATATTAGTGCCATGCTTCAGCTCTCTAGCCCTTTGATCGCATCATTAAAATTCACATCGGTCATTTAAGATCGCCTATACCGTCGTGTATGCTGCTGGTATGGTTGTCTGCACACGCGTTTGGGTGGAGTGGGAGGCAGTTGGCCTCCAGCAACAACGGAGGGCAGAGGAGCGAAGCTCACAACAACGAGCAGAGCGCCTGGTGGATAAACCGTTGGGGCAGTGGGGTGCACAGGTGGGGTGTCTGCCAGTCATCCCATGGCACCCGGAGCTGTTCCGTGACCTGCCAGCAGACCCTCGACACTTCGTGTGGCTTCAAAGTGCACCTAGCCTGGTACACGTGCCCTGGTCACGTCACCGCCACTTTGTGGTGAACGGTGGTTGTTGTGTGCGCACCTATCCACGTGTGTACCTGTTTATATATACACATTCACTGTGCATGTATACACGTGTGTGTATACACACAATCACTGTGCATGTATACACGTGTGTGTATACACACATTCACTGTGCATGTATACACGTGTGTATATACACACATTCACTGTGCATGTATCCACGTGTGTGTATATACACATTCACTGTGCATGTATACACGTGTGTGTATATACACATTCACTGTGCATGTATACACGTGTGTGTATATACACATTCACTGTGCATATATACACGTGTGTATACACACATTCACTGTGCATGTATCCACGTGTGTATATACACACATTCACTGTGCATGTATACACGTATATATACACACATTCACTGTGCATGTATCCACGTGTGTATATACACACATTCACTGTGCATGTATCCACGTGTGTATATACACATTCACTGTGCATGTATACACGTGTGTATATACACACATTCACTGTGCATGTATCCACGTGTGTATATATACACATTCACTGTGCATGTGTACACGTGTGTATATACACACATTCACTGTGCATGTATCCACGTGTGTATATACACACATTCACTGTGCTTGTATCCACGTGTGTATATATATGATTAAACATTCACTGTGCATGTATTCACGTGTATATATATATAAACATTCACTGTGCGTAACCCAGCGCCCCTACTCGATTCCCGCTCACGACCAATAATAATAGTGGCGAATATTTTAACCGGACCTGGGCCTCCCTTAGATCGACTCAGCCTCAAATGAATACCCGATGCAGTGTGTATTAAACAACATTAGCACTGGGGAAACAAAGGTAGCCGGGCGTGATGTAGGCCACCCAAGCGCTTGTGTGCCGGGCCGGCCTTCATAGGTGTTACTCGCTAACAGCACTTGCCCCAACAGTCTGTTAGAGGCTGTACAGGGAATCTTTGTCTTTGCTTCCAATGAACGCATAATCCGCGCTCCTCCAAGCGGTCGCTTCGGCTCCGGTGCCAGCGACACGAGGGGGGGCGGGGATTAGGGGGGTGGGGGGAACAGGAAATTAAACAGAGGCTCAAGTAGCTCCCCCGCACAGCACACACACCCCGCACAACACGCACACACCCCGCACAACACCCACACATCCTTCTAACAGCACACACACACCCCGCACAACACGCACACACCCCGCACAACACGCACACATCCTTCTAACAGCACACACACACCCCGCACAACACGCACACACCCCGCACAACACCCACACATCCTTCTAACAGCACACACACCCCGCACAACACGCACACACCCCGCACAACACCCACACATCCTTCTAACAGCACACACACACCCCGCACAACACGCACACATCCTTCTAACAGCACACACACCCCGCACAACACACACACCCTTCTTACAACACACACACCCTTCTTACACCACACACACACACCCCAAAGCAGACACCCCGCACAGCACACACACACACCCCGCACAGCACACACACACCCCGCACAACACCCACACATCCTTCTAACAGCACACACACACCCCGCACAACACGCACACACCCCGCACAACACCCACACATCCTTCTAACAGCACACACACACCCCGCACAACACGCACACATCCTTCTAACAGCACACACACCCCGCACAACACACACACCCTTCTTACAACACACACACCCTTCTTACACCACACACACACACCCCAAAGCAGACACCCCGCACAGCACACACACACACCCCGCACAGCACACACACACCCCGCACAACACACACACCCCGCACACACACAGCACACACACGCCCACAGCACACACACACCCTTCTAACAGCACACACACACACCCCACAGCACACACCCCGTACATCACACACACACCCCGCACAGCACACACACACACCCCGCACAACACACACACACACAGCACACACACCCAGAGCACACACACACCCTTCTAACAGCACACACACACCCCACACAGCACACCCAGCACACCCCGCCCAACACACACACACCCCACACAGCATACACACATACCCACAGCACACTCCGCACAGCACACACAGCACACACACCCTTCTTACACCACACACCCCCCCACAGCACACCCCGCACAGCACACACAGCACACACACACATCCCGCACAGCACACACATACACCCTTCTTACACCACACACACACACCCCGCACAGCACACAACCCCCTGTCACATCGACTCAGCATCCCCGCAGTTCCCACTCCGCTAACCCCACGAGGCATCGGGGGTCTCCCGCCGCCGCGCGTTGGAATCGCGTTAATCAAAGGGAGTCCCCGTTTAGGAGGGGTCCCCTGGGGGTCTGCTGGAGTCAAGGGGACCCCCCCGGGAGGGACCCGGGTGATGCGCGGGGTCCAACGGGGAGCGGGCAGGCGGAGAGGGGGGGATTGGGCAGCAGTGACGCGATCGTATGTGCGTGGATGTTGAATTTCTTTCGCACCGTACGTAACCGACCGTGCTCATCGGCTGCGCGGATCGCGCTCCGCACCCCCGTGCCAAGATCGGGGGCCCGGCAGCGTCCATTAGGGGACCCCCCCACCCGCCGCCCCATACACACACAGGGCGGGGGGGAGGGGTGGCTCAGAACAGCGCGGGTTAAATGACGTCATGTTTATTTCAATGATTAAATGACGTCATGTTTATTTCAATGATTAACATTTAGGGGCGGGGGGGAGGGGGTCGCTCGGTCGCGTGGGAGGATGGGGGGGGGGGTCACGGGACGCACCTTCACGGGGCTGCACACGGCGCGTGTGGGGGGGGGGGGGTACAAAGAGCATCACGAGACAGAAACACGAGCCCCCCCCCCCCCCCGGAGGGGGGTGGCCCCTCCCCCCAAACCAACCACGCAGCCAGCGCCTCGACGGGCGCAGCTTTCCACCTCAATTCGCCCCCCCACCACCAGCCCACGAGATGAGGGGTGGGGGTCAAGGGTGGCAGCTTGGGGGTGGGGGGCGGATTGCAAGGGGGGGGGGTAAGGCAGGCGGGTGCAGGGAGCTGGGGAAGCGCCGCAGCTGCAGCAGGAGGGGGGGGGCGGGGTGTGGGGGAGCGAGGGGGGGTGCGGGGAACGATGGGGGGGGGGGGGCAATGGTGGTGGGGGGGGGCACGGGTTAGCCCCCCGACTGTACACGTGAATATTTACAGAATGTGCAATAAATTATGATGAACTCTGTGGAACAGGCTACGCAACCGATGATGAGAGCGACGGTGTGGTCGTGATATTTACACAGTATTGGCCGAATAATTACATAAATAGCTGCGATTACCTTCACTTATCATCATTACCATCATCATCATCATTGTATTAATGTTATGGTTTGTATTATCATCATTATAATTATAATTACTCGTGTTAATATCATATTGGAATTACATGGAACATGACATGGACGCTACACTATGTCACAGCTGAAAGAGGTGGGGGGCAGGTGAGGAGGGGGAGGGGGGCTCTCCCCCCCCCCATCTCACCGGGAGTTGCCCACAGGGCCAGGGGGGCTCTCCCCCCCGCCCCCCTCCACGGGGAGAGGGGCAGTCAGTCCGCAGCTCCTCCGGTCACTACGTGGTTCCTCTGTAGTGTTGGGGTGGGGGGCAATGAGGGGGGGCCCGAGGGGATGGGCCCCCCCCCCCCCCCAGTGGCTCTCCCTCTCGTTGCGATCACGTGGCCGGGCTGCACAGTCTGGCCCAAGTATCAGTGGTTGAGTCGTGGACTCGGCACGAGTACTCGGTCCACTGTGTACCCACGGCTGTGTGTACTGTGTGAGTATCCTCACTGTGTGTACACTGCGTGTGCACTCAACGTGGTGATGAAAGTGTCTGTGTGTGACATGGCGCATTTCAGCCGCCACTCTGCTACACACATGGGAGTTGTGTCTGTGTTGTGGAGGATCGGCACAAAGGCGTGTGTGCGCGTGTGTGCGCGTGTGTGAGCATCTCCGTGTGTCCCAGCGTGTGCATGCGCACTCGTGTCAGTGTCTGTCTAGAATGTGTCGCCATCAGCGTTTCAAGTCCAAGTTGATTCTGTGTGTGTGTGTGGCCAGGTGTGCACTCAGGAGGCCAGTACAGAGTCTCAATTGCCAGCGAGACTTTGGGCCCCAGTCTGCTGCCACGATTTTGCGGCGTCCAATCCCACTCGAGCAATATTTTCCAACTTGGACCCTGCTAATGACGTCACGGGATCTTTAACGTCCGCAGCGAAGCAGACGACACGTGGTGTTGTCACGGCCAATGCGCACCACCGCGGTATTAATCGGGGCGGCCGCCGCCGCCGGGCCGCGTCGCCGCCCGAGCGTAGGCGGATCCTGTCGGCATGAAGGGTGCGCGTGCGTGCGTGTGTGTCGGCATCGGTGCGTACGTGCTCGCGTCACCCCCGGGGCGTCACAGCGAGCGCGCGCGCCGGAACGCCTTCGTGTTTGTCGGTCGGCTGCCCCCCCCCACCCTCCCGCGCGTGGGCAGCGGCAGGCTCGGGGGGCGGAGCGGCAGGCAGCGGACTAGGACGGGCTGCCCCTGCCGGGAGACGCGCCCCGCTTGCCGCCCTCCAGGCCGCTCACGAGCCGCTGGATGCTCCGCAGCTCGCTCTTGCCCTCTCGCTCGGGGCTGGCGCCGTGGCTCCTCGGGGGGGCGGGCGACGCGGCCCCCCCAAGTTTCCCCTCGACGCCGGACGCGGCCTCGGCCGCCCCGGACGGCGGCGCCGCGGGCGGCGGGGGCGGAGCCGCGGCCGCCGCCCCCGCGGCCAGGAGGCCCGGGCCGCCGGGGGCCGGGGGCGTGGACAGGGGCAGCGAGTAGGGGCTGAAGCGCAGGTGCTGGCGGCCGAACAGCGGGTGCCGGTGCGCGGGGCTGCCCGCCCCGGCCGCCGCCGCGGCCGCGGCGGCCGCCATGTAGGTGTAGTGGTAGGGGAAGAGGCTGCCGAAGGCCGACACGGGCAGGCCCTGCGACGCGAGCAGGTGGTGGGGCAGTCCCGGGAAGTGCAGCGCGGCCGACGAGGCGGGGACGCCGTGCGGGGCGCCCGCCGCGTCCGCGCCGCCCAGCACGCCCGACATGGAGGCCAGCAGGGGCCCCATGCCGGCGCTCAGGCCCGGGAAGGCGCCCGAGGCCATGGCCATCTGGCCGGGGTGCAGGAAGAGCGGGTGGCTCCCGTTGATGGGCGCGAAGAAGGGCTGCCCATGCAGGCCCGGGAAGCCGAGGTTGTGCAGCGCTCCCGACGCGACGTGCGCGTGCGGCCCGTCCGTCTGCACGGTGAGCGGGGCGAAGCTCTCCTTGCCGCCGCCGCGCGCGGAGGCCCCGTCGCGGGCCTTGCCCGCCGGGTCGTGGTGCTTGTCGGCGCCGTTGTGCTCGGGGTGGCGCGACGCCTCCGAGGGGCACGAGGAGGAGCGCGCCGGGTGACGCGGGGCATCGCGCTCCGGGGTGCGAGACGAGGAGGAGGAGGACGAGGCGGAGAAGGCGGCCGCGGCGGCCGCGCGGTCTCCCGGGGAGCGCAGCTCCTTGGCCGAGAGGTCGAGGCCGCGGTCCTCGCCGCCGCCGCCGCGGCCTCCTCGCTGCTCGCGGTCGTCGCGGCTCCGCTCTGCGACGCGAGAAGAGAGTTTGAGAGCACGGCTCTGAGCTCGCGGAGTGTCACGACGTCTCTGGGTTAACCCCGCGCTTGCCAACTCCGGGGAGAGGAGGCTCGTTGGCAAGAGCTACGACTTGGGTCACCACCAACGGCACAAACGTCAAATAAAGAGCAGCGATCCGAGGAAACAGCGTGCGTGTTCGTGTTGATGTGCACGCGTGTTTGTGTACCGATGTCACGTGCACACGCGGTAGCGTTTTATATTTTACTGTGAATATCAAAACCAGGCCGTAGTTTTGCTTGCGTTGAACCGACACAGCCGAAATAACGCTCTCCCTCAAAGCCGGAGCGAGCGACGAGATTATTTTGATTCTAAATCCAGTCGCCTGATTGTGGCCACGGCAAAGCGACAGCCATTGCCCCCATCATCATCACCATCATCGCCGGCCATCATTGCCCACGTCTGCCTCCATCTCGGATCCCTGCTCCCACGTGCGCGGAGTCGCAAACTCGCTCTGCCGCTTTGCAAACGCTTCGCGAGACGGCACCAGAGTGGTTGGCACAGATGTACGTATATAAATGTTGAACTTCTCTCGCACCTAACGTAGCCAACCGTGCTAATCGGAGGTGCAATCGTCCGATCACCCGCTCGCACTTTAAACCTCAGTACCTGGGTTCAGCCCGGCCTGAGCACGCACCCCCCCACTGAATGGGAGATTAAAGACGCAGTGACGGGAGTAGTGCGATTGTGGCCATGTCGTAGCCAGCAGCAGCAGAACCTCGACAACGTCATCGAGCTCCTGGACTACATCGCCGCCGCCATCGCGCGAGAATCGGATGCGATAGTATCCCGCTGCCCGGTGCCGCCGTGGCGTGTGGCCATCACGGAATCCTCGATCTGGCACCGATTCTCCAGGTTCACGGCACAGACACCGACTCGATTGTGCAGGGACCCAGGTCTCTCGATGATGAACAGGATGATGATGATGACAGTAGATGGGGGGCTACGGGAGGCCGACGCGACGAACCCACGGGTGCAATCGAGACGTACGAGGAATGCGCTCCCGAGTGGAACCGCGACGCCGATTCGTCGCAATTCGTCTGTCGTCTGGATGCCGTGTGCGTGACGGTGGTGGGGCGCGAGTGGTGGTGGGGTGTGAGTGGTGGTGGGGTGTGAGTGGTGGTACTTGGGGTGTGCGTACCGGAGTAGAGCGGGCTGGCAGGGAGAGTGTGTCTGGACGAGGCGCTGGCGGAGCCCGGGGGGGGCTCCTCGTCCGAGTCGCCGTCGTCGCGCTCCTCGCCCTCCGCCTCCTCGTACGTGCGCAGCGAGTGGAGCGCCAGCTGCTTCCTGCAGGGGGCACGGGGGGGGGAGGGCGGGGGTCAGTCGGGGTTGGGGTCAGGGTCAGGAGATGGGGGGCAGCAGATGGTGAGACACGGAGACACCTGCATCGCACGTGGGGGTCAGCTTGATGCTTCTCGTGAATGGTCACCCTGGCGAGTGGCGAGGTGGCCCTGCTGAGTGGTCACCCTGGTGAGTGGTCACCCTGCTGAGTGGCGAGGTGGCCCTGGTGGTCACACTGATGGCGTTCCGCGTCATCGCCGCCAGGTGGCGCCACTTGCTCGGCATTGACCCCCGAGGCGACGAGAATCAGGACTGGGGCAGGTGAGCAGCGGGGTGAGTTTGTTCCCACCGGGGGGTGTGTAGAGCTGGGTGAGCGAGGGCACGTGCGGGGTGGTGGTGCGTGGTGGTAGTGGTGCGTGGTGGTGGTGCGTGGTGGTGCGATGCCCTCCGCACCACCGCCCGGGTGCGAACTCTCTACCTCTTCTCTCGGCGGCCGTTGCCCGTGTCCCGGAACCCCTTGGCGAAGGGGTTGTTGTCGATCTTCAGCTGTGTGATCTAGGGGAGGGAGGGGTGGGGTGAGAGGAGAGGGACGTGAGGGCGGGGGGGGGTCACCGTGGGGCGGTGTGTGTGTATATTTACCCCGTGTCAATGAACACTGTGTACATGTGCAATGCGTACGTGCGCGTGTGTGTTTGTGTACACAGCGTGTGCGTCTCTGCTTGTGTTAAGCTCCGTATGTGTCAGTGTACAATGCACGTGTGTGTTTGTCAATGAACATCGGAGCTCGCTGGCAGCACTTGCCCCGACAGCACGTGCGGATATATTCCGGGGCATCTTTGTCTTTGTCAATGTACACGCGCTGTAGCGACATGGGTGCAGTGCTATGTTAACACTCTTTCTCTGTGCGTGTGTGTTTATGTATGTATTGTGTAAGCTCTGTATACGTGTGGATACTGTTATGTCAGCGTGTTTCAATGTGCGATGTGTAACGCGTGTGTGTACGTGCATGGCGATGTTGCAGGCTGCATGCGCGCACTTGCTGTGCACGCACAAGCGTGTGCACACTTGTGTACAATGCGTGTGCATCTACAATGCGTGTGCATCTACAATGCGTGTGTCTATTCCCCTGTCAGTCTTAGAGTTGGTCCCGAGATCCAACAACCTTAGCGCACAGCCCGTGCGGTCCGGGTGACACGGACACAACACCCTACACTGCAATGCCACTCGAATACAGCCAACACGGTCCGAGCTACTCCGCACAACACGCGGCCACAGTTCATGAGATGCGGAACACCCCGACCCACGGATGTCGCGACCTGTATCACTGCAGTGCGAGTGACGACGACACACAACAACAACAGCCAACAACAGCCAACAACAGCCAACAACAGCCAACAACAGCCAACAACAGCCTCACCGCCACTGCGGCCTGTCCACCGCCCCCCGTAACTCACAGCGAGACGGCACCACCTTTCAGCGAGTGTACGCGGGGAGCGACACGTGGGGGAGAGGACGGGGACAGGGGTAGGGGACAGGGGTAGGGGACAGGGGTAGTGGACAGGGCTAAGGAGAGGGGTAGTGGAGAGAGCTGTGAGAGCGGGGTAGGAGATAGGGGTCGGGGAGAGGACTGGGAGGGAGGCGTGAGACAAGGATGAGGGGTCTTTGCCGAGCCCGTGCGTCGATCCCAAGGGGACCCCGAGAGGACCGTACCCCCCCCCCCCCCCCCCGAGAAACTGTCCGTGGCGGGGGGCGAATTCGCTCCCGCGTAGCCCGCCGCGTGTGTGCACACGCGCGGCGAGAGCTTGCACACAACACGCACTGCTGTCAGTGTACACAGCAAGCGTGTGCACACACCGTGCACTGCGAGTATACACGGCACGCGCGCTCTGGAGCTCGCGGCGAGAGAGAGGGAATTAGTAATCGAGACGCGCGTGGATTTCACTCAAATTACAACTGCGCAGAATTTCCGACTCCCAAACAAAACTTAGCTTAGCGTGGGAGGTGGATGCGGTGAGGTTCTCCCCCCCCCCACCCCATTGCTTCAATTCGCAAGTTTGATTTCAAGACCGAGCCCTGAAGATGTTCCGCGCTCTTTGTGAATGTGCGGGGGCAGTGGTGGCGCGCTCACGGCACTCGCCCCAACGGTCCTTTAAGGCTATATGGGGCACCTTTGTCTTTGGAGAGTGGTGGCGCATTGGTTAGCGGGACTGCTGCGCTAAGAAACCCAGCGACCGGAGTTCACGACCAACACCAGTGACGATTATCCGAACCGGTCGTGGGTCTCCTTTAGGTCGACTCAGCCGCAAATGAGTATCGGGTGCGGTGTGTAAACATCGCCACTGGGGATACAAAGGTGCGTGACGATGGCCACCCACCCCTCGTGTGCCGTTCTGGCCTTCATAGACACTGTACTCGCTAACGGCACTTGCCCCAACAGTTTGTCACGTCTATACGGGAGATCTTTGTCTTTGTAATGGTGTGCGCGTGTGTGAGAGTCCGTGTGTGCAACTGTGTGCCCGGGTGTGTGCGCGTGGTGTGTGCACGAGTGAATGTGTGCACGAGTGTGTACGTGAATGACTGTGTACGTGAATGACATATACCTGCACGTATATCTATATCACACTCACAAACACACACGCGTTCTAACACAAGTACAGAATGTCTCGAGCCTGACACACTGTTGGGCAAGCACTGTTAGCGAGCACCAATCAAAGCCCCATGGGAAGGGAGAGATAAAGAACCACGCACGACCGTCTTTGTCTCCCCAGTACAAATGTTCACAGACCGTGCCAGCTACTCATTTTAGTCTGAATCGGCCAGGGAGAGAGACAGCTCGGACGGGTTCGGGTACCATTGGTCCCTGGGTGCGTCGTGTCTGTCCATGGCCCGGTGTTGAACCTGGATGGCAGGGAAGGCTGCGCAGTGCGATAAATACAGCGCCACCACTCTCGTGACACGCAATAAATGCGTTTCTATTGGTTGTGGGCCTGCCCGAAGTCGGCTCAGCCTTAGAATAGCATCTGGGTCTGGCGTTCAAAATATCAGCACTAGGGAGACAAAGGCGGCTGGCCGGGCGTGGTGCTGGCCACCCACCCCGTCGTGTGCCTCCCCGGTCTTTATAGGTGCTCGCTAACAGCACTTGACCCAACATTCCGTTGATGGCTATACGGGGATCTTTGTCTTTGTCGTATGAAAGGGGGATTCGCCCACTCTCTGTCGGCTTTACCGTCACACCCGGCGGGAGGCGAGTTACTCGGTTCACCGGTGATGGATCGTGTGGACCCCGCGCTACGATTGAGACCAATCGACCCCGGGAGCTCGGGGTCCTTACAGGGCCGCCAGCAGCCACAGGGCGACAGTGCCGAGTCTCGGATATGTGCACACAGAGACTCGACTGCAGGGTGCGTGTGTGTCTGCGTGTGTGTGTCTGCGTGTGTCTGGGTGTGTGTCTGCGTGTGTGTGTCTGCGTGTGTCTGGGTGTGTGTCTGCGTGTGTGTGTCTGTGCGTGTGCCTGCGCGTGTGCCAGCGTGTGTGTCTGCGCGTGTCTGGGTGTGTGTCTGCGTGTGTGCGTGTTTGTGTCTGCGCGTGTGTCTGCGCGTGTGTCTGCGTGTGTGTCTGCGTGTGTGCCTGCGTGTGTGTCTGCGTGTGCCTGCGTGTGTGTCTGTGCCTGCGCGTGTGTCTGCGCGTGTGCCTGCGTGTGTCTGCGTGTGTCTGCGTGTGTCTCTGCGTGTGTCTCTGCGTGTGTGTCTACGCGTGTCTGCGTGCGTCTGCGTGTGTCTGCGTATGTGTCTGCGTGTGTCTGCGTGTGTCTCTGCGCGTGTCTGCGTGTGTGTGTGCGTCTGCGTGTCTCTGCGTGTGTCTCTGCGCGTGTGTCTGTGAGGAGCAGAAGTGTAGCGGTTAGCGCGCTGCGCTGCGAACCCGGCGACCCAAGTTCCATTCCCGCTCACAGCCAACATCAGTGACGAATATTTGAACCGGTCCTGGGCCTCCCCTAGATCGACTCAGCCTCAAATGAGTACCTGGTGCAATTTGTAAAAAACTCGCCACTACGCAAAGGTGGCTGGCCGAGCGCGGTGCTGGCCACCCACCCCCTCGTGTGCCGTGCCGGCCTTCATAGGGGCTTGCTAACAGCACTTGCCCCAACAGTCTATTAAGGATATACGGGTAATCTTTGTGTGTGAGAGGCAAATACCACACCACTTGCCCTTCTAGAATATCGATAGAATATACAGCAGTGAGTCACCATCGTCTGTATGTATGACACATGCACATCAATACACACGGTACACGCATGGATGTACATGAAGTATGTGCTACGCATGTGTTCAGGCCCAGTGAGAGGCTCCACACGCCATGCGGCTTTATTTGACCATACTTCACCACGATGGGCAGTGCGGATTGGTGAGGATACATATAATATAACTGGTATACACACATCATCGCGATTTCAACTTTGACTACCACCATTACCTCCACCACCACCGCAAACACAACTACCTCCACCACCACCTCTATCAATACCTCCACTACCACATCCACTACTACCACCACGACCACCACGACCATCATGATCTACCACTACAAACACAACTACCTCCACCACCATCACTACCTCTACCACCACGAAGTCTACCGCGACCTCTGTCATCACCACAACTCAACGCTCACAGGCGCAGGGACGCGTCGGTGGAGACGTTCATCCCCATGCACAGAGGCGGCCACACCAGAATAGAGAATCGCAGAGCTTGGGCTACCACCCGCCCTTCCGCTGATCTGTGGTTCCCGTCTCCTCCGTGCGACTGCGGCGATGTTGCGGGTGGTGGTGTTGTTGGCTGCGCACGTGACCCGGCGCTGTGGAGGCAGCGGCGAGGGTTGGTGGGTCACACGCAGATGTCGTGAGATTCTCTCCCCGTTGGTTCGGCGTCGAGGAACCGTAACCACTGGGACTGTGCCAGGAGAAGGCAGTGACAGCAAAGTGGGGACTGGTATCACCTGTGCCTGATTACCATGGGATCGAGTGTTGCCCCCTCGCACGCGTGAGTTTTCTCCCAAGTGTATCATAAACACAGCTCATCATTAACTGGGGCTGAACACATCTTACATCGAGAAACCCAACGTAGCGGCAGCAGCAGGACCCTCTAGATAAAGCGGCACGCGCCTCTCTTGGGTAAATGTCAATTATTATTATTTGAAATGCGATTTGCATGAATGACAATGGCTAACTACAAATCACACTTCACGGCGATGATGTCGTCGTTGTACACAAGTGTATTGTATCAATGCGCACCACGTAGGCGCGACTTGCTACACGAGTGGAGGTGTTAAGTTCCCGCTACATCATGAGATCGTGAGAGATGGCGACCGCGTGGGGAAATCTTCATCCACCAGGAGATTGATCGTAGCTGCTGCTCATGATGGCGATGGAAGAGAGCCGTCTTGATCCAATAGACATGTAGATCAGAGAGGGAGAGCCGCGGTGCAATGGTGAGCACGCTGTGCTTTGAGTTCAGTGGGGAGTAACATCTGAATCAGTCCGACCAACTCCGCCAGCCCTT